ATATTAGTGACATCTGAAGCTCCAATATGAGGAGGGCCTATCAAAGCATTGTTTGACAATGGTGGGCCACCAGATCCATGGCTATACATATTATGTGAATGCCCAGCAGCAAAATTGGTCCCACTAGGATGGCCAGGTGCTGCAGTTGGAAATGAGACACCACTCATCCTTGTGTCCTGAAAGAAAGGACAATTTGCATACGCTACATGAAAAAATAAATCAAATAGAACAAAATTACTTGGAAACTTGATACAAAATTTTGCTTAACCTGACTTTTCCAATTCTTTTCTGTTTCTCACTGAAAGTATTATTTCTCATATCATAGTTAAAGAAAAACATTTCTCTTAACCTAAAACTAAGTAATGGCCAAGGAAAAAAGTTGTTTTAGTAGTAAACTGAGCTTCAAAAGAGAAATATGGAACAATATACAAGGCATACAAAAAAAAAAACCCCCACAAGTGTAGACTTCCACTGTAGGAACGACCTCTAATCCAATTTCATAATTAATCAAATTCCACATATAACCTCACTCATAAAACTTTACAGTAGCTAACTACGTATCTTCCATGTAAAACCCAATGATATGAAAATAAATAAATCAGCCCCCTTTCAACTTTTTTTAACTTGAACAAATCTTAGGATATGAAAATAAAAATATATCTGGTTTTTTGTCATAGTAAACAACCATCCCTCATATTTGAATCTTACTTAAACAATGCCCAAAAAAGAAACTTAAACATGGAAGAATTACAAATGGACATGAAATGCAGAACCTGCTGGCTCCTTGCCATTGGTATTGCTGCAAGCCTTGGTTGAAGTGGACCAACGCCAGGCCCTTCATTCCTGCCAAAGTAATATTCATTTCCAGCTCTACCTGGCAAATTTTCAGCACTAGTTTGCTGCCCCTGCATCACTGCTGGGCTCATCTGATCTTGGAATCTAGAATGATGTTGGCGATGAGCCAATTCAGTACCTGCATGCTGCAATTGAACCACAGGATTCTGCTGTTGTATGTTTCCTGGAGAGCCACCAAATTGTCGTGCTTGGTCTGATGCTGAACCAAATTGTTGCATTTGAGAAGAATTGGTTCCAGGATGAAGGTTATGAATAGATGAGGTACCACCACTTTGTTCAAACTGGGAAGAAGAAAAGCCAACTTGGTTTCCTGACTGGATATTATCCTCCTCTCTCTTCAGAAAAGCTGACTTCTGCTCAAGGTGATTGCCAAATGGTTGACCTAAAGGACTTTGTTGAACTTGCTGCTGCAAATTGTGCTGCACACTTGGATGCACACTTTGCTGGTAGCCGATATACTGAAGCTGCTGCTGACCATATTGTGGTTGCGGACCTTGAGGCTGCCCAACTAATGGCGTTTGATTTTGCATGCTTGGCTGTCCTAAATGCTGGATTGATGGTTGTGGTATTTGTTGTCCTGGATTCTGTAAGGGTTGTCCTGGATTCTGCGGGGGTTGCTGATTTGGATGCTGAGACATTTGTGGATTTGCATGTGCCATTTTCTGACCTTGATGCATGACCTGCTGCTGGCCAAGATGTGGTGACGACATTGCAAACAGCCCCTGTTGCTGCATGACCTGGTTCGATTGCGAGCTATTTTGTCGCCCATCTGGTGCCATTTGCAAGCCAGGATGGTGATTAACAGTTGCCTGACCGGCAACAGAACTGTGCTGTTGTGACATCAGATGTCCAGGTTGTTGAGAAAGTTGGCTATTTGATTGGCCTTCTTGTTGAGGGACATGATGATTTTTCTGTACATGCGGTGTTAATGCACCATTTGATGGCATTGAATGAGCCTCCGAAACTGAAGTAGGCTTGGACGAAGAGACGCCAGGATGAGGACCGAGCGGCAATGGTGGTGGCAAAGAGACCGGTTTTTCATACTGAGTTACGTTGGTTTCAGGGTTCCAGTAGTATAACAGTCCAGTGCTCCCATCAATCAATCCCTTCCAGGGTTTGGGAAGAGTAGGGTCGTCCGGTGCATAGCGAGGACCAAGGGAAGGGGGAGCAGACTCTCCAGTTTCCATGACTTCAAAATGTATCAAGAAATTGATCACAAACAAGTCAGTATTCAATAAACACAGCTAGCATCTCTCCTATCCACTGATGAATAACTACCACATAGAGTTATAAACAAAGGTTAACCAAAATTGAGAACAAAATTTAATTCCAACCCAAGTTTATTCAGTTTGCCAAGAGAATAAACACTAGAATCCGTTATACACTAAATTCAGATATCTTATAATGCCATAATGAAATTTCCTTCAAACTCATATCATTCATTCAATCTTCAAAATTTTCCCAATCATCCTTACATTTAAGTTGAGTAAGAATCAAACCAACGAACAAATGAATTCCAAACCAAAAAAAACAGAATGCAACAAGATGATCAGAGAAACAAAATTTTATACATCTACCTCAATAAAGATCCGAATTCCGATAATGTTTCTCCTTCCTCGTCAAGACCTGACGAGAGAAGTAAAATTAAAGGACGCCCCAAATGATTGGCACGTTGAATCGCTCAATCGAACGAACAACAAAGTTCTTCAAGGAGAGATTCACAGGGGATTCTGAGGCGCTAGGGCTACTGGAGATGTTACCGAATGCAGCGTCTCGTCTCAATCTACCATTTACACGACGAAGAGGGACCGATCGATAAAAAATTGGACGGCCAGGATCATCTACTGTAGCTTGCGTTCGAATCTCGCACGTCCAAATAGCGACCGGGTGGCGACGCTTCCCTCTTATTTTCGGCTCTCGAGCTCTTTATAGAACTACGGGTTACGAGCTCAAGACTCCGACCCTTTGCATATAACCCGTGGGTCGACCCGTTTTATCGCTAACAATATTGTATTTTTTTTTCCATTATTTTTGTATCTATAACTTTTAAATATCTTTTAGATTTTCCGATATTGTCCACTTCCAGCATTAATGATACCATGTTGCTCTGATACCATGTTACATGAACACGACTCTTCACAATGGTATGATATTATCCACTTTGAACATAAACTCTCATGGCTTTACTCTGAGCTTTCCCAAAAGGCCTCTGGAGATAGTATTCATTGATTATAAAAAATAAAAATTGTCAATAACGTTGGGAAGTGATGAAAATGTAATGAACTTGATTTTAGTATAGATAGACACGAGAGTTGGTCGAAAGGAGGAGATGAGTATGATAAACCCTAATGCTTAAAAAAACACAATTTTAACGGGAACGAAACTAAGGAGGAACAAGGACATACAAGGAGACAGAAAAACGTCTTAATAAGACTAAGACCAAGAAACCGAGACGATAAAATGTTGACATGAAAGATGAAGGAAACAAAATTAGGGTCACTTTCATTTAATGTCTGTCTCAAGCATTTATCTACAAAACTATTCTCGTTTAAACGTAGTCTCAGTTCATTTATATACCCCTTCGTTTACTCAAGCGTTTCAACTATTTTTATGATTATGTTCATTTGAAACTTACTAGCTAGGGAGTTCACGGGACAAAGTTAGATATGGATGTTCCTCGTTGCTGTTTCCACTCATTTAAATCTATTATCTCGCTATTTGCTTTCCATTTTCTTTATCGCCTAAATAAGGAGTTAGCTACAACCTAACCATCGAGACCATTAAGACTATAAGCTATAAGCTAAAGTGAGACTGTAAATGGTTTAAACAACTGGCTACACTTCAATTATCAACAGTAACCGAGAAAATAGCGATCGAGATTATTATTTAATTATTATAGAATATTCTTAGTAAATAAAATAATATTTTATAATAGTTAGGGGTGTACGTTCAACCCGACAACCCGGACCAACCCAACCCGAACTATAAAGGTTGGGTTGGATTAGCATTTCAGGTACGGTTAGGTTCATTTTTCTGAATCTGAACTGAATCGATTTGTTTTCAGGTTCGTGTGATAAAACCTTTGAGTTGACCCAAACCAGATAAAAATATATAAATTATAATAAGAATTTTTTTGTATTAATAAGTTTGTTCGATACCTTGGCTTCTCTAAGGACACAGATATACATTTTTTAATTATTATTTTGTTTAATTTCTTTGTTCCAGATTATTTTAAGAATTATTATTAAATCACAATTTATATATATTTTTATTTTTTCCAATCGTTTAGGTTTTTAAACTAAGTTTTATTGTTTATTTCATTTAATTGAATGGATAAAAAATTATTTTAAAATTTTAAAATTTTAATATATAAATTTTAAATTTTAATATATTTATTATCTATTTGTTAGCACGTGGTTGAATCATATATATATATATATATAATAGTTTAGGTTCTCTGACCTATAATTACAATTAAAATATTTTATGGCATTTTTAAACTAATTGTTTTTATAGTTTATTTAGGTTCATGATTTATCTTTATATTTGTTATTACTTTAACCAATTCTTAAGAAAGGTCGGATTTAGCCATTTTTAGTTTTATGAACTATGTTAATATGTTATACATCGAACTATGTTAATATGTTATATTTTTTTTTTTTGAGAAATGTAAGTATTTATATGTAGGTATTTATCCATCTTTGGTTTTATGACAATGTTGAACTATGTTAATATGTTATAATTTTTGCATTGATTTTCTTTTTATTGTGAATAATTATAAATCAAGCTTTGTTTGTAAACTTTTAATATATTTTATCTAAAATTCTATCTTAATAAGCATTGATTTTCTTTCGTGAATAATTATAAATGAATATATTTTATCTAAAATTCTATCTTAATAAGCATTGATTTTCTTTCGTGAATAATTATAAATGAATTTATGTTTGTGAACTTTTAATATATTTTATTTAAGATTCAATTCAGTGTCCACATGTCATAACAGTTAAAAATAAATATTTAAAAGGGAAGGTCTGAACCAAATGCCACACAAGTATAAAGGATGGAGGGGGGGAGGAAAAATATAATTACTATATAAACCATTATTTATTTCTAATTCAGATTTCAACAACTTTCTAGAACATCAATTTCATTTATTCTTGAGAAGCTAAGAAGGAAGTGGAAGATCATACTTCACCTACAAAACTCCCAGAGTCTACAATCTTTTTCGATCATTATTGCCATTTGAATCAATTAATTAAAGGCAAAAAGTTCGATCGAGAGACTCGTGATTGCGAATCCCGCACCAGGTTCCTTTTGTTTCCATTTTCCTCTCTACAACTATCCTGGCTCAAGGGAGAGTTGGAAGAGAAAGCTGAAGAAGAAGCTCAAAGGTGGTGCCCGTAGCTGTAGTTATAGCTTTGTGATCACGGCACCGAACCTTCAGATCAATGGCTCTCGACGCCGAAGCTGTACCAGCGGCGGAGTTGGCGCTTGCTGATACCGACATCAACTGGAACAGGTTCTCCACCAGCTTTTCCTCTGCGATCAATATTCTACTAATTTGCTAGTGAAAATCATGATCCTCACCGGTTTTTGAACGAAAGTATGCTAGATGTTAACTTCTTGTTGTTGTGGAATCTGTCTTGTATGTCTTGGTATCTGTTTTAGGAATTCGTTTAAGGGACTGAGAAGCGCGTTTTAGCTATTAACATCCGATTGTTGTGGAATTTTGTTTGGTTTGTCTGAGTCTTCGAATTTTTTTGGTCAGAGAATGTATTAGGATCTTATAGTTTTGGCATCGTTTTCTTTTTTGTGGTTAAGCATTTGGAATTTGGAGCTTAAACTAGGTCGATGTTCTATAATCGCCAAACTAGGTTCGGTACCAGTTGATTATTACACAATATAACGTGTGATTTCATACTAGGCGATTGTTCTCCTCCACTTTACTTCTAACGTCCTCACCTTCAATAATCTCCACCAGTACGCCTTCATACTTTTCTTTTCGTTTACAGTCTTGTCAATGCTACTGTAATTTCTTCTCAAAATGAAATTGTTTTTTTGTTATTAAGAATTCTAGCTATTTTTTACCGATCGGTTGGAATGTTGTATCCGTTCTTCTTGTAATGTTACTGATAACTTCAATTAGGTTGGACAAGACAAAGTTTCACATAATTGGAGCAATTCTCTTTACTGCTCAGTCAGCCCTGTTACATCCAACAGCGGTTGTAAAAACTAGAATGCAAGTTGCTGGATCTGGTCTGTCTCACATGCGTGGACTGTCAGTTTTCTGGAATATATTGAAGTCTGATGGAATCTCTGGCTTATATAGAGGTTTTGGTACTTCAGCGGTTGGCTCATTACCTGGTAGAGTACTGGCTTTAACATCACTGGAAGTATCGAAAGACATAATGTTGAAATATACTGGAAGTCTGCAAATGCCAGAAGCAACTCGTGTTGGTCTTGCTAATGGAGTGGCAGGCATGATCTCAAATTTGGTTTCATGCATATACTTCGTGCCGTTGGACGTGGTACATGAACATTTTCTTTCTGTTCTTGTCTATTTGAGATCGTATTTGTTTGTGAATAAGTTTAGTTCAGAAGATTGGGATTGAAACTTGATGAGAAAACTCTTTAAGACTTGATTGAATTAAATGATTTTCCATACATGGTTCATGGTCACAAGATCCATGCACATAGTTTAGTGGTAACAAACATGTAATCTTTCCTTTCAAGTGGGAGGATCAAGTTCCCATATTTGTTGTACTAAAAAGAAAAAAGAAAAAAGTTCCCATGTTTAATTTCCAATATAGTTCTTAGGACGTAATAGTGAACTTGTTCCTCTCTGCTACTCGACAGTTTATTATTGTCAGTACGTTAAGTAAGCAGCTTCAATTTTAATCTGTATCTATACCTATATCTATATCTACTACTCGTGATGCCCCTGAATAACTACACAATGTCAATTGTTAACCGCAGACTTGTCAGAGGATGATGGTTCAAGGGCTACCTGGAACCACCTTCTGCAATGGGCCACTTGATGTTGTGAGAAAAGTGATGAAGGCTGAAGGATTTCGTGGTTTATATAGGGGTTTTGGATTAACGGCTGTATCTCAATCCCCAGCATCTGCTCTCTGGTGGGGTGTCTACGGTGCTGCTCAGCATATCATATGGAGGTGCAATAATTTTCCAGCATAGTCAACTATATGGATTAATTTTACATTAATGGTTAAAATCTTGGACTATGAGTAATCTAATCATTATTAGGAGCTTAGGATATCGAGATAGCATGGAGAAGAAACCTTCTCACATGGAGATGGTTACTGTTCAGGCTACAGCTGGAATGGCGGCAGGTGCTTGTTCGTCTATTATTACAACTCCTCTAGACACAGTAAAGACACGACTTCAGGTAAAATAGTTGTTAGTATTAGTATGCTGCACGACATTGGTACGAAATGATGAAATGGCTAAGACCGTCGCTTATTTTATCTGTATCTCTCCAATGCAGGTCATTGATAACTATGGAACTGGAAGACCATCTGTGCTCAAGACATCAAGAGCACTTTTCAAGGAAGAGGGGTGGTTGGGATTTTATAGAGGCTTTGGACCTCGGTTTTTGAATATGTCACTTTATGGAACCACGATGATTGTCACATACGAACTGATCAGTAAGTCATATTTCACATTTTTCTTATGTGAAAGATTATGAAACTGACTCAGGACATTAGGAAACACGTAAATTATTAATCATGCTTCTCGTGCAAATTTATAATTATATTTATCTATAACAATCACCTTTTATTAGTTCAATATTATATCAGTCCCTTAGATATATAATATAACCTTGTGCATTGCTGTTTAATCCTCTATTATACTTTTTTATCAGAGAGACTTTCCTTAAAGGAGATCGTGACATCTTGAATGGGAGGACTTGTGCGGGACGTTTAGAAAGAATAGAGTAGTAAGCCAGATGCTTCATTTTTTTTTTCATTCTTTTTTCCATCTTTTTTGGATGGTGGGGATTGTAAGCAGCAGATGAAACATAGAAGCAACACATTGACACAGGACGGTACCAAACTAGCAATGGTACAAACGTAGATCATTCCATTTTTCCTTTCTGTATGCTGAAAGACAGGTGTCCTTTTTACAATTCTAAAGTCACCAATATGAATTTCATTTTGTTAGAATTGTATTCATGAACTAATGGGAAGATGAATTATATTTCATTGATTTGTAGGATTTCTTGCATGCTTGAATCATTGATTTTTTCCCTCTTAGCAGCGGATGAATCATAGCGAAAAGAAGCATCATTGACACAGGACAGAACTTAACTTGCAGTAGTTGAAACGTAGACCATTCCATTCTTGTAATCATGAACAAAGAAATGAAAGTAATGATTTTCATTTTGGTTACACATGTAATCATGAACAAACGGATAAAATGAATGATGTTTCATTGATTTGTAAGACTGTCTGCATTCTTGAATCCCACCACCAATGCGAAGTTGCAATACAGTCGGAGCCTGCTGGCGGTGACTTCAGGTATCAGAATACTTTATCTTTATTTACCTCTTATTTCGCCATTCTTATGTTACCAAACTTTGAATAAGGTGAAGGGCCCATGGTTCTGGAATGATCAGCCAGAGGATGGAAAGAGTTCGGGAATGTTATCACGGAAAACAACTGCATTCCTACTCCTGTATTCTCATACGTTGATGCGATCAACGAAGCAAGGTAAATATCGTCCATATGTCGTGAAATGCATTGCTTAACACACTTGGGGTTGGATGGCTGGGGGGTTGAAAAATATGGAAACTGAACATGGCTGTATGTTGAGATACCATCATATCTTCTTCAAAACGCTTGCAACAACCCATCAATAATTAAAGATAATCATTTTAAAATAATGATTTATTCAAAGTCAGTCACTTCCAATCATATCTTTATCATGTTTGTGATCCTTCAAAATCACTCGAAACTCAGATTTTCGGAGTGATTTTGAAAATGACAACCCCCAAACACGACCTTCTTCTCTTGCATTTGCAATTAAAAATTGAACATTGTTGATTTGTCATGGCAGTTACATGCAGGTGATTTCACTCCAGTTTGTACCACGGAGCTCTGGATGATGGCTGCTCAAACAGAGCTTTGGTAGAGGGGGTGTGAAGCTCATAGGATTGTCTTGAGAAGAAGTTCGATCTCATTCCGAGTGGATCAAGGATATCAAAGCCTATAATGTGAGTTTTTCGATACACCGTGATTCTTTTGGTATTTGAATAGTAAGGAGAAAAAAAGCACGTTTTGGTGAAATATGTTCGACAAAAGCATTCCTTCATCATCACTAGAACGATGAGTCTTTAATGTTTTGATTTTTTTTTTCTATAATATATGTTAACATTCAGTATCCAAGTGGTTGAACTTCTGAGACCGTGTGAAATGGGTGGGGAAACCTACAACTTTTTGACACTCACATTGGCATCTTTTTATAAAAAAACCAAGAGCCATGTCGAATCAGATGATAAGGGTTGTAAAGGACAAAGGTCTTGTAGGGGTACCCATTGCCGTAAATTCTGCTGACTTTCTTTGAATTAGTGGCCTTTTGCTTCCACTTTTTTCACACTTGTGTTTGCCTTTAGGGGATTGGCTGTAACACATTTTAGATTATCTACAAATTGTCGCAACTGGGAGGTTATTATTGGAAGTTTGAGTCCAATTTTTTTTCAAAACGTCATGAGATAGTTTGATTCATATCCGGTGTGGGCATTAAAGCATTGAGAGGACCTTTCCCTAGTACGACAGGACCGGAAATGACACACCTCTAGTATACCAGTTATCATGCCCATTGTAAATGTTGATAGCCAAATGCAGAGCAAATAACTGTTGAAAGCGTCCAAGTAGTACGCCCACCGATACTTAAAAATATTCATTTGGCCTTCAAAATTGTTACTTTTTAACAAGTTAGGAGCTACAATTGACTTATTTTCCAAGCTTAAAAAAAAGTTACCAAAATAGTTTATTTATTTATAAATAAAATAAATAAACACTATTGTTTCCTTACAAATCATGGATTTTAAGGGAAGAAAAGACGAAGAAAAGGCTTTGTATAGAGAGCAGTAGTCAAAGTAGGGCCCACTTTCACAGCCTTTTCTAATTAACCTTTTGACGATCTTCTTATGATGTCTCCCGCACCGCCACCTTCTTAACTGTCTAAACCACCCACTCAATTTTTAAATTTCGATCATAACCCTTAAATTAGGAATTTTTTTTTTTTAATATTTTTATTTTAGTATCTGATTTTTTTAATTCATAAGTCCACAAAAACAAAAAATAAAAAATTTAAAATTTTATACTACATAACATTTAAATTTATATATAACAAAACAATTATTAAAAAAAAAAAAAAGACTTATTTTCATATTTAAAATTAGAGTAAATGTGAGAAAATATTTATATTTATTATTGTGGTAAAAAATCAATACTCAAACTATATAGTACAATAAAAGAAGAAAACAAAGCTAAGTTTAGGGCATGACTCATGATTTTGATACCATGTTAGACGAACATGACTCTCCACGATGGTATAATATTGTCCCTTTGAGCATAAGCTCCCTAAAATGTCTCGTACCAATGGAGATAGTATTCCTTGATTATAAACTTATGATCATTCCCTGAATTAACGGACGTGACACGTGTCACAATCGCACTCTTGATGGCAGCGGACTTGCGATTGTGCAACACTCACTTTCCAACGACAAGTGAGCTAAGTCAATTCGTTCTTATATCGCCTACGGCTAAGCGACATATGCTCGAACCTCTTAACTCGATTTAAGAGAAGGTTTTAGAAAACGAGGGCAGAGAGAGATTTTTGAAAGAGAAATTTTAAAAGAAATATTATACAAAAGAGTAATAACAACCATACTGCTATAGCTAACATTCAAAAGTGGATTTGGATTTGGATTTGGAAGAGATGGAGGGAACACCGCAATTTGAGTCCATAATTGTCCCTCGAAATTCTCACTCTCTTGAGCTGAGCTGTTTTCCTCCTCCAAAATCAAATAAATTAACCATTCTATTCAATTTATCATTACCATAAATTTTTACTTTGATGAACTCCATGCCGTCGCTACCTCTTTCCGCCGTCTCCGGCCACCGGAATCTCACATTTCCATGGCTCCTACTCCTCCTACTACCGGCAACACTACTTTTACCTTCTCTCACTTTCGCCTCACCTTGCCGGACCTCCTGCGGCAACATTCCGATCAAATACCCCTTCGGAGTCGATGACGGCTGCGGAGCGCCTCAGTTCCGGCGCATGTTCAACTGCTCCACAGATCTCTTCTTCCTCACTCCCTCCGGCACTTACAAAGTCCAATCCATCGATTACGACAAGCAATCCATGGTGATCTACGATCCGGCCATGTCGACCTGCTCCATCCTTCAACCGCATCACGACTTCGTCATGACCGATATCCAATCGATCATCATGCCGCCAACGCCGGACACCGTGTTCGCTCTCCTCAATTGCTCGATCGATTCACCGATCCTCAACCACTACAAGTACCTCTGCTTCAATTTCTCTGGCCATTCCTGCGACGAACTCTACGGCGCCTGCAACGCCTTCCGAGTCTTCCATCTGTTGACGAACAGTTCACCTCCGTGCTGTTTCACTGGATACGATACTGTGAAGTTCATGAGTATGAACATTCTGGATTGCTCGCATTACACGACGGTGTTGAATGCGGAGAATCTGAAGGGCGTAGGGGCTCTGGATTGGGATTACGGGATGAAATTGAGCTTCTCCGTTCCGGATTTAGGATGCGATCGGTGTTCAAATTCGGGAGGAACTTGTGGATTTGATACTGAAACCGAAGGATTGTCGTGCCTCTGCTCCATTTCCTCTAATCATACCAGAGATTGCGGTAAGCCCTCCCCGCGTTGCGATGCGTTCCATTGCATATATATATATATATATATTTATTTATTTATTGACTCAATAACTACTTTTATAATATCTATTTTTCATTTAATTTTTTTTATCTTATACTTAAGTTGAAACACTAACTTAGGAAATAATCATAAATTTATAATTAAAGAATACTCTCTCTATTATTAAAGACTTTTTTGAGAACCATAAAACAAAGCATGAGAGCTTATGCCCAAATTGGACAATATCATACACGGTGGAGAGTCGTGTTCATCTAACAGAAATTAAAATGTCATATCCTATATTTCCCCATCTTTTAATTAAATTTAGTTTTTAAACTCTTGCACGTAAAATATTTTAGTTTATTATTATTATTATTATTTTGCTGACAATTTAACGATCATTTATTTATTTTTTATCTATTTTATTGGTGTTATTATTATTATTATTCCTGGCTAACAATTTAACCATAATTGATTTTTTTTTATACAAACAAATTTTTAAAAAATCACTATTTTAGTTTTTATTATCATTATTATTTGCTTAAACAATAAATATGTTTTAAAGAAAAGAAAAAAAAAACAACTCTTCCATTTAATAATATAAAAGTGATAATGATATTAAAAAGTTTTATTTGTGTGTTTTTTTTTTTCAGTTGGTGGAAATATTATGAGTGGAGGACCAAACGAAGCATCCTTAGTAATCATATTTATTTATTTATTAGGTATTATTCAGCTGGTTTTAAGCTATTATTGAACTCCCAAAAAAAGGTGTAAGTTATTAGGATTAAAATGTGGCACTATTTAATGATGATGAGTAATTAGTTTGTTATTATTTGGTTTTTTTTTGTTTAAAGTAAATTGTTAACATTTATTTATTTATTTATCTATCAACTTTTAAACTATTTTTAACTAATGGATGATTATTTATTTATTTATTTATTTTGGTAAATACTATAAAATTATGTTGACTTTATATTTAAAAATATTAACATTTTTTAAAATTATAAAATTTAAGGGAAAAAAACGATCCATTTCTACCTAAACATCCTTGTTTCAATTTACATCATAAACTTTCAATTTTATAAATTTAAACTCGAAGTGTTTCAATATTTTCTCGTCACATTTGGTTAAATTTACCTATTAATATTAATCAAAAGCAAGCAATAATATTTCAAAATTCACACATAGATAATGTGAAATTCAAGTTTGATTTATCAATTAAAAAAAAATTAAACAATTAAATAAATACCTCAAATTTCCCAAATCTAACAAAATATAATTTAATAAAATTGAAAGTTTTGGGCAAAAATAAAGTTGGCCCGTGTGATGCTTCAGGGTAGATTGTGATATCCCACGTTGATTGGGGAGGAGAACAAACCACCATTTATAAGTGCGTGGAAACCTTCCCCTAGCAAACGCGTTTTAAAGCGGACGCCCGAAAGGAAAAGTCCAAAGAGGACAATATCGGCTAGCAGTGGATCTGGGTTGTTACCGCCCATCTTAAGATAGGGGTAAATATTGATTATTACCAAAGTTAAAAGACTAAGATATAACGATCCATAACAAAACTTGAGTTATTTACAATTAAAGTGAACAAAAAAGGAGAGGAAAAGGAACCTTTGTTTCTTTCCTCTTTTTGCAATAAGTCAGTATTTTTGTTACAAATCCTAACAGCCTAAAAATGAGATTTACAAAATAATGTATACATACTGTTTAATCTGATGGCGGAATGGTTATTGATTAAGCCAAATTCTGCTCTTCCTTCTGGATTTCTTGGGAACTTCCATCTTCATTTGAGCCACTGGGTTCTTCATCATTAATCTGCTACAAATTGTCAAAATGAACTTCAGGGTTTTCCTCTTGTGAGAAATTTTATCTCTTAAATGAAACAGGCTTTCGATACCGATAAAATATGGTCTAACATGAGAATAGCTTAGCGGTTATGACATTTACTCCTCCGACCACAAAAAAAAAAAGATTGACCTTTGAACCCTCTGGAGACGTTAAGGGTTTTTGGAACTAAGCGAACCGAAGGTTCGAACTGGGGACCTCTAAGCCGGTATACAACAAAACAATACTACATACTGGAAGATCATTCATTACCTTATTCCTAGAATGGGCTCCTCTCTATATGTATGTGCTTTAGCCCTGACTGCCTAATTATTATTGACCATTGAAAGAGAAAGAGATTCGTCTTGCTAATGTGCTTGCTTATTGGATTGATGTAAGCCTGATAAGTGAGGTCTTAAAAACTTCATAGAATGAAATGACAATGAACGATCAGCTATTTCATTTGTGCTTGAAGCTAGTAGGCGACAAGAATCTATGGTTTCTATCCTTCAACTAATTCAAGTGATTCAGTCAAGGAAAAGTCAGATGCCTCTCCTACAGGCTTAAACATTGATTTTGTCTCGATGCGGTTCTCCCCAAGGGGATCCCAAGACCTTGCCAATGCGGCTGCCCCTTGGAGGCGAGGAAAACAACTTAGAGCATATTGAAAGAACAATCCTAAAGAATGGATCTATTCGCTCCCTATTTTTTGCTGGTTCCTTTTTTCATAGTTCAGTAAAGGAATGGAAAGAGCGGATAGAGAAAAAAGAAAATATATGGTAAGTGAGAATAGTTTGTAACAGAGGTTACCTTAAAAATGTGAAACTTTGTTACTAATCTCATATACTGATGGCGAGCCTCTGGAGAACGAGCCATGGACTTGACTCTGGATAGCGCCTTTTCAACATCAGCATATTTAAGCTGGCGCCCAATTCGTAGAAACTCATAGTCATCACTTTTCTCCACCTGTGAATGCGAGGAAGCAACTTCTCCAGTTGCCCCTTCGGCTTTGAACCCTCGCAGACCAACTCTTTTCCGCCTCCAGCGTAGAATTGCCTTTTCTACAATGCTAACTGTCCATATGACCTTTCTATACAGTTTACGAACTTGATATCCTCTCACATGAGCCTGAATGCAACATTTCAAGCATGAGTTAAGATCAAGATCTTAAGAAAGCAAATAGAATTGTATAACGTCGTAAAAAAGAAAACACAAAAAAGGTCGCCTTATGAGGGGGCAATCTCTCCCACGATAGCCTAATTTGCCATAATTTTCCTATTCTCCAACTTGTATTGAAACAGCCCAAATTCACCACGCTAGTAGATATTGTCCGCTTTGGCCTATTACGTATCGCTATCAGCCTCGTGGTTTTAAAACGCATCTGTTAGGAAGAAGTTTTCACACCCTTATAAGGAATGTTTCGTTCCCCCTCTCCAACCGATGTGGGATCTCACAATCCACCAATTTGGGGGCTAGCGTCCTTGTTGGCACACTGTCCGGTTTCTAACTCTGATACCATTTGTAATAACCCAAGTTCACTGCTAACAAATATTGTCCGCTTTGGTCGGTTACGTATCATCGTCAGTTTCACGGTTCTAAAACCCGTCTGTTAGAGAGAGGTTTTCACACCCTTATAAGGAATGCTTCGTTCCCCTCTCCAACCGATGTGGGATCTCACATGTATCCTCTACCAGGCAAACTATCTAAATAAATACAAATATGCCACTACTAATATTCCTAAAGTAAAACCTAGCAACGTAATAGACGAGCACAAGTACCTGGATTTTTACAATTCGGTTTCTTATCTTCAAAAACTCTTTTCTTCCCTTCCAGCCACGATAATTTTGTTGAATCCTCACAGCTGCAACGTGGAGATAATCCTCATAGTGAATTTTTTCAGCCTTGTTTAAAATTCCGAGAGCCACTAGGTCAACTGATTCTTCATGTATCATCTCCTTGTCACTTCCCATTAATTGTTTATGACGAAATGAACGAGCACGGAAAGCAGCATGAATTAAGGCAGCAGCGTGAACAGACTTCCTGACAGCAGCGAGAGAACCCTTGAGGGAAAGGAGTTCGTCTTCCGCCAACTGCGATGATACGACATCTGCAGTCTGAATAGTTTCATCAACGTTAACATTTTCTTTGACGTTGTCCTTAAGATTTTCACCATCAGTCAAAGAACGTAAATGAGCTATAAGATCAGCTTCAGCCAAATATCCAGCAATTCCCTTATGCCCTCGACTTGATGCCAAATCAGCAGCAGTTTGTCCTCCTGGAAATCCTGAAGTTGGATCATCCACGGCACCAGGAGAAACACCTAACCTAACCAGTGTAGCGACGGTTTCTTCCCTGGGGATCAGAGGACAAAATGACAGTAAGAAACATTGTTGAGAGATTATTCCAAGGTGTAAATAAAAAAAATGGAACTGAAATTTTTAAGCACAACTCCTGAACCTCCTAAAAGAGAACAAAGCATGTAACTAATACTTGAAAATCCAAGATGGGAAGCTAACCTCCCAAAGTAAGACGCCCAGTGAAGAGCTGTCCTTCCCTTCGAATCTCTGAAGTTCGGACTGACCCCAGAAGCGATTATCGGTCCTATGGTCCATGCATAGCCAAGTGCAGCTGCCAAATGTATGACGCCTAGGCCCTCTTCATCCAAAACATGCGTTCCCATAGTTCCTTCATGAACCTTGCATGCTAGCCACTCACAAAGTTTGTCCACCAGCAAAGTTTGGATCATAAAATCCCTAGGGTTCATTCCATCACTTATTAATGGAATAGAAATCCCTTCCATCATTCTCCATTTTGCAATATCACTTCTGGATGACTTCATCAAACCTATGATTTTGCATTTCTCACAGTTTTTAATAGAGCAATCCAACCACTTTTCCTCTAAACATAAATTCAACAGCCTTGTCAGACGCATTTGAAACCGTAATTCATCTTCTGATGCACACTTGATAGCATTAGGTACAGAGAGGGTTGGTAGCTTTTCACGAAACTCAAACTCTCTCACCTCACTGCAGGCTAGCCTATTACAGCATGTCACATAGAAGGGAATACGCCCTGGAGCATGCAGAGGAGTTTGGCATCGAAGTACACTGTTTGACAGAACTTCTGCAGAAACCTCAACTTCCCCAAACATGCATCCCCACTGCGTTTCTACAGGAAGTTTTTTGCTTCCCAAAAACGAGCCAACTATTAGGACCTTCATAAATCCGAAAAAAAAAAAAAAGTCAAACATCGAACACTCAGCCTTAATGAATCTAAGGGGAAAAAACATGTCATGCAACAGCCGGTACCTTTGTTACATTTCCAGAATATGCCCAATCTGGGGAAAAATCGGAAATACTGAATAACTGATCTTGGGAAAGTGAAGGCCCCAGTGAATCGATATCCAGCTGCATGTGATGCGATAAACTGGATACTTCCTTCTCATCATTTCCAGCATCCAGTGCACACCAGTAATTACCAGAGTCCAAAGTCATCAAAGAATCATCACAATCTCTTCCAATTTCCTTATCCATCCATCTGCCAAAACTGTCAAGTTTTTTGAGTTCTCCAAAACCTTCATGGTTCAAATCATATTTGGACGTCTTTTCTACCTGAACAAACGAGTCGTCTACCACCTGAGAATCAGTACACATACCAAATAGAGGAACTGTGATCAAACCGTGCTTCTTTTTCTGACACAAGAAATATAGCGTTGGGCACTTCAACAATATACAAATATTTTAGTAGAGAACCAATTAATCATATAACAGTAAGCAACTGCGAAAAGAGTACAACAAGTTTTCCCCATGGTAAATGCTATTAGATGACTTAGAATTGATTCACTCTGACAGCATCCAGATATCATGAAATCGTAACCTCGTCTTAAAATAAACTTAAACATAATAAAAAAGAAATAAGAAAGAAAATGTATGCGACTGTATGTGACTGTGTGTTAGTAGGCAAAGAGTGTACCACAT